ATCATTTAAAATTGAATCTAAAAATCCCTGTCTAATTAGCAGACAATCACTAAAATATGATGAATTTTGTGTCGTTTCACTTATATCGTCAGTGAGACATTTGAGAGTAGCAGTGATTTCAGACAGAGAGGCAACCAGTTGGCAGAACATTAAGATTCTACCTAAGTGAATTCTACAATGGCTACGATACAAAAGCCATATAATAAACGAGTTGTTGACGTCGCTTGCTTGTTATGTACGAGAAAATATCAGACCTTGGTSTTTTATGTATKCTACTGTCAAGACCTCGGTTTGATCTTTTCTGATGCAGACCGAGCAAGCGASGTTAATAACCTTTYAATATTGACAACGTTTTGTGCTCTCAGGGTATTATATGTACACTGAAGTTAATAATCAAAGAAATGGTGCCAAAGCGCGTATTATGCAATCCTACCTTAAAACAACGGCCAATGGACGGTGTCTGCAGTTTTTCTATATGATGTACGGTAGAGAATTAGGGACTCTAAATGTATATCAGAAAGTTGGCAATGCACTTGGAAAACCCATCTTTACCAAAACGGGAGATGCTGGACAAGGAAGAACATGGTTGAAGGGGCAGGCAACATTGAACAGCTCTGTTGATTTTATGGTAAAGATCTCTCTCTTATAGCTTTAAATTGATTAGCAGATAAGAGCCACAATATCACAAACTCGTTACCAGTGCTCTCTCTGTAGCACCMTGGAAGACACTGGCAAAGGCTGAACTAAGTCGTTTTTTGATTGGCTAATAAAGATGTCATTCTTTTACCGCTTGACATCAATCTCGTACCCAGAGCCCGCACTTTTGCCATCCAGCGGATGACAATGCGTGATGTTTCCTTTTCTATTGTAATCCAATTCTCAACTTTTGTGTTTTTTTTTTGCGATCCTGATTTTTCGTGTAATTTCTATGCACGCGCAGTATGTTAATTGATTTGAACTATTGCGCGCTCTTAAGCAGTTATGTTACCATAGTGTTTTGTTTACATTTGCATCCTCACGTACGCATTGTAATTTCAAATTTCATTTTACCCTGATGATGGACAAGTTGTCCGAAAGCTCGGAAAATTAAAACCAACGTAGAAGAAACAAAACTGAGTATTTAAATAATGAATCCTTCGTACGAAAACATTTCAACATTGAGGTTAATGTTGTTTTCTGCTTTTAGAGTATTAAAATGATGAAAAAGAAGGCTCAGCAAACTACCTAGTTTAGAAACGATATTWACACCTTTTTAAAMATAAAAATGTGTGAAAACATGTGTGGTTATGCGAAAAAAGGACGATATTCTTGACTAAACGACGAGCGCGCGCTGGCGACTGGAAAAATCGACTTGAAAACAATGCGCGCACGCGTCATTTTCAACCAATCAGAAATCGAGAAAAAGTTGATTCCTCCAGAGTCTCTCACGCATTGTCATCCGCTGGATGGCAAAAGTTCCATTCTCTCACGAATCCCTGAGGACTTCTAGAATGAACTGAATTAACTACTCCGTTAAGTTATATTGCCGATAAGATGGAAATTATCAAATAAACAACTTTAAAAAGKTTTTTGTTCTATATCAACAAAACCCACCACAGCTAACCCAATTTGTACAAAATGTTGAGTTAACGTTACGAACGYATTTTTTTATAAAATCATAATAGAATATTAATAGACAATAGTCACTTCATCAAATACTCCATGTACTTTTGAGTACTTCAGTGATCACGTRATAATCAGSCTTTGACAGGTGGCGTACGCCATTTTGTAAGTAGCTACAGAGAGGGCACTTAGACTTGAGGTTTGCATTATCACTAACTTTTTTATCGTA